ATTCTAAACTAATCTAACCATAGACAAAGGGCAGAGAAAAGGCATCTTTGTACATTTAAAAGAAGGTAAAGAAACATAGAATCATTTTCCACTAACACTGTTTGTTTGTGAAATCTGATCATTCGCCCCATCAAAATAGAGAAACCTCTGTGTGGCAGCCATCTTTTTTTGGGTCAAGACAGCAAACAGAATCTGAAGGTTTGTGATTGTCGTCACAAAGCCGAGGATTCAAAGCAGAGATACGCCGTCAGATTCCCGAGCTCCTGGAATCCTATGTGGAGACAAACTTGCTGTTTGACAGGAAGTAGGATAGGCCGCACATTTTCATGCCTCAGTTAATGACCTGAAAATCCGGCTTCCCGTTTGCAGGACTGAGATAAATAAATCTGGATTTACCAAAATACCAAGGTGTGACTTCAGGAACAACGCTATTTGTACAGCTGTCAGAGCTCATTGTGGACGGCTAATCACAGACAGATTGATGCAGTTGGTTAGAAATCATTTAATATTTGTTTACAGGAAATAAACTCTAATTAAATGAAAGTTACAGTGACTCACTGCGCCACCATGTGATACAGAAAAGAACAGGCCAAAGCAGCTGGTGGTAGTTACTCAAGCTAACTCAGATCAGCTGGAGAGAAAGACACTAAATTAACATCAGTGGTACTGAAAGCAGCTGTAGATAATCTTACATCTATGCAAATATTTGGTTCAGATGAAAACAGTTTGATGATGCCCTCAGGTGCATGACTGTCATCACTGACAAATGAAAACAATTTAACCTGATTTATTTCATTCTGTTACAGAAAATAGAGAATGAAACAAAAATAAATACAGCAGAAGGTTTGTATCAAATCCAGCTCAGCATTTCCAAACATCAGTGGTTTTTACACCTGCATCAAGATTTGTGTGTCTGCAGAGTCCCAGCAGACATGTGACGGACACAGGTCCTCCTCCTCAGACTCACCTGACCACACACTCAGGTGTAGTCAAGTCAGGTGAGTCGCACCTGTGACACGTTCATTGCCCCCCTCTTGAACTGTGGTGTAACATGGCCTGGCGGCAGAGGCGGAGAGCACCACCTGAAGTCAGAAACAATAAAGTGAAAACTGTGCTGCCACATTAGAAACACATCTAAGTGATGTCACATTCCTGTTGTCGCTCTGTCACACTGACCTCTGCATTCAGCTTCCTTCTCTTCACATCGTCATACACATGAAACATCAGCAGCTCGCAGGTCTTCTTGTGATCTCAGCCTGCATTCGAGCCACAGCACAGAACACCAACCCTCTCTGCTCGAGGGCTAGCATCTGTAACTGATCTGGGACTCGTGTGCCAAAGCGTTATTAAAAAGGACTCGACTCCTCAGCAACTGACAGTGTGTTTGTCACATTCAGACTGACCCAAGGACCTACCTCTCACAGCCAGCAGCTGACCTTTGGCCTCCAACATGCAGTTGGATCACAAACTCTTTTGACTCAGTCAAACCTCAGAGAGGTGTTGTGAGTCATATTGCAGGTTCTGCTTTCATTCTGGTGTCTGAAGAGTTCCAGCCCACAAAGCAGATCTTCAGTCTGTCAGTCCTTCTGCAGCTCCCCCGTGTGGACAGACGCTGAACCAGTTTTTCACAAAGTGTGATTAGCAGCATCAGCCTCACAGCTTCCTGTAGAGAACAGGTGCCAAACTCGAGGGCCAGTGTCCTGAAACTTTTAAATGTGTCCCTGCTGCAACATACCAGAATTAAAATTGGTAGGTCATTAGCAAGACTATAGAACTTGACTGCATGCTGAGGAGGCAATTCAGGCCATGTCCACACTTATACGTTTTCGTTTGAAAACACATCTTTTTCTCTTCGTTTTGGCCTTCCGTCCACACTGAGACTTCATTTTTGGTCAAGGAAAACGCTGTGTTTTGAAAACACTTTCCAAACCGGATATATTTGAAAATGCCGTTTTCATGTCGCAGTGTGGACAGCGAATCACACTGTGGTAAAACGATGACACATTTTAGTCATGTGATGCAGTCATGTGACCAATTAAATTAAACTTAGGCTACGTTCACACTGCAGGCGAAAGCGCATCAAATCTGACTTTTTTGACCCTATGCAACCCATATCCGATCATACTATGACAGTGTGAACAGCACAAATCCGATATCTTTAAATCCGATCAGGGTCACTTTCGTATGTGGTACTGAATCCGATACATATCTGATGTTTTAGAAAGCGACTGCTGTTTGAATGGTCATGTCGCATTAAATCCGTCTTTTACGTCACTGACACAAGACAGATGCCAATTATCAGCGCCTGAAAAGCACCCGATAAGACATCATGAACGCTTCTTGGTCATCCCGTGTAGATGTTAGTGAAACGTACAGAAAATGGGAACATTTTATTTGTACTGTATTATCTGCAGATTCTGACAGACATTTCTAACTATCTTTTGAAGCACCGCTCCTCTCTAAAACAGCAATAAGGATAATTATTAGGCCATTTGTAAATAACAAAATAACTTTATAACTTAAAGCAAATTTGGGAAACATAAAGTCCGAAGTCTTTATATTAATTGCCATCAGTCAAACAATACTGTTTGGTCTGGGTCTAAACAAAGCGCGTTTTGTGTGATGTCTTCTTTTGCGCATGCGGGCCGCTTTGAGGGTTCACACTAGAGCTTGTTTGCTGTCACATTGTATTTGTAGTGTGAACAAGCAGAGAAAAGAAAAAAAATTGGATTTGATCAAAAAATCGGAATTGAGCATTAAGCCCTGCAGTGTGAACGTAGCCTAATATAGCGGAGGGTATTTTCGGCCGTTTCAATGTGGACGCACAACGTGAAAACGATAGTGTGGACACAGAGCGTTTTCAAAAGAAAACACAGTTTTCAAATTTATCCGGGCTAGTGTAGATATAGCCTCAGCCATTTGATTCATGTTACAGCAGCTCATAAGTGAATGAACATGGTGCAACAAAAGTACTTTTAGAAGTACAATTTTCCAAAAACTTACATTTATTTAAATTTACTTGAGTAAGGTTGGGGATTGCCACCTCAGCATGCAGTCAAGTCTTGCTAATAACCTAATTTTAATCAGGTGTGTTGCAGCAGGGACACATGAAAAAGTTTCAGGACACCAGCCCTCAAGTTTGACACCTGTGCTCTACAGGAAGCTGTGAGGCTGATGTTGAGGACTGGAGTTTGACACCCTGCTGCAGAGGAACATTACAGACCCTCCTCTTGTGGATATTTTAATCCAAACAGAGACAAAAGTCTGGATTTAACATTTTCAGATTCAAAGGTGATCTGACGGTGGAGATGGACATCTGCGGCCTTGTGTTGATGACATTCTGATCAAATGTTATTTTTATGTCTCATCTTCAGAATCTTTAGAAAAATTAAAACAAGTATTTCTGAGTGGATGCAGTTTCCTGGAAATATTTCAGAATAAAAGCCTCACTAAACACTAAATTTGAAACAGGAAGCACTGAGGTTGCATGATCAACATCAATAAAAATCTTCAAAATAATTGTGATTATATTCCAATCAGATAGGAAGGTCAAAGGTCAGCTGAATCTCAGAGCCCATGTGACTGAAAAACATTTATGTGGAGCATTTAAACACCAACACTGGACCCGTTTCCCGCTGGCCTTCAGTCAGAAACGATCACCGTTAACAAACCAATAATCAATAACAGCTGCTTCTTCTGTGGTATCCTGTCAGGAAACCACAGAAGCTAGAACACAGCTACAGGTGATCTCTGTGAAAAATGTGAGCATCAGTCCAAACATCAGCTGATCAATGAGCTGATCCTCCCTCAGCCCTGACATTAAAAACTTCGTGAAGCAGAGAAAAGATGAAGCTGCAGCTTGAGGAGGAGGTGCTGGTAAATAACACTGAGCCTTCATCCTCTGTGGGATGGAAACAGAGGCTCCACCCACACTCAGGTTCACTCTGTTTATTAAGAGTCGTGGTCACAAACAGAAAAACAACGCAAGAAGAAGAACAAACAGCTGACATCGCTAGCTTTACTTAAGACGACATTCGTTTACACCTGGGGTAACCAGGTGGACCCGCCACCTTGGTCAGATCCACCCGGTCCGACCTGAGCCGGCTTAAACTGGTCTAAACTGGTGAGGGGTTAAAGGGGCATGTCCCTGACTTCTGTTAGTGCTGATTAGGTGAAAGTTGAATTAGTTTGAGTTCAGCTGGAGTTTGTTTGGTTTCAGGTCTTAGTCCACAGGAAACAGTCTCACTGTGAGCCAGACAAGAAGATGATGAGGGGGGGCAGGGCTGATTGTCCAAGCAGCCGCAGAATCATTTCATGGAGCTCATTCTGATTGGTTCTGATAGTCTGATTTACTCGAGCCTGTAACGACTGGTTGGTTCTGAGCAGCTGGATCCAGTCCGATCCCGTACTGCTGGCGAGCGAACACTTCGAGAGACTTGTAAGGCATCACAGGAGTTCTGAGGGTAAGAGTCGAGGTGACTGGTTCTAGTGTTTAGTTGTTGGATTTTTCATTGGCCGGTTCAGTCTGAGGGGGGGTTTGTGACCTTCCGTGCCGGCCCGCCCCTCACACATCGCCGTGAGTTTGACAGGAAGGACGGAGTGTTACAGTAAAGGCACCAATCACAGAGTGCGTGGGACGGTGACAGAGCGAGGAAGCCGTAACAGGCTTTAGTATTCTGGGAAACATCCAAGCGTGAGGCAGCGCACCCTTGCAAACAGGAATTTCTCTCCACGCAGGTCACAGGGGTACCGTTTCAGCAGATATACTAGTTTGTATTTCCTCTGGAGATCACACTGCGAGCAGCACAAGCGCTAACCGTGGGTGTGGGCGGAGCTTCGACGGACTCATTTTAATCGGTTACTATAACGTTTTTAGGTTGTGATGACGTCAGTTTAGCGTGTACGTGCTGAACCTGAACTCTAGGATCCATGAAGGTCCGCAAATCCTCCACTTGGTCCATTGGACGGAAATGCTACGGTCGACTCGTTCAGACCTGAGCTGTAACGGGTGGAGGGTGGTGCCTCCTCTACGCGACTGCGAGATTCCTGCTCTTTGATACGAGCAGCTGATTGGCCATCACAGCTGTCAGATATCATACATGCAATTATAACTTAATAAAAATAATGTTTAACTATAAAAACGATAAGTGCCGTCAGCTGAGAGCGTGATTGGTCGTGCAGGCACCAGCTGACGGCACGTCACCTTCATGGTTTGTTTAGAGAACAGAGCAGCTGCGTCTAGACCTGCAGCCAGTTTCAGGTAACGTCTTAAAACAGAAGCTCAGAGCGCTGCAGAACCACCGCAGCTCACACCGGCCTGTGACGGCGCCAGTTTCAGTAACTCCTGACGGTTTTGAATCAGCCAGAAATGTCGCTAAAGCGTGAGTTCATAGGGGTCGTCTGATTGGTGGGTTTCTGTGGATTACTTTTGGACCTGAAATGTGATTAAAGCTCAGAGAAGGCCACATGACCACATCAGTCTGAGGCCGCGATTTGAACCGTGCACTCTGCGAGTCGGAATTTAAGGCAACATGGCGCCTCGTTGCTCTGAAAGTCACGCAAGGGCAGTTTTGAGTTTCAGCTCGTGTTTAAACATTTAAAAAAAAAAAAGGAAACGTGAGCTCTGGGCGACCAATCAGATTTTACGATGGGTTCAGTTATTTGTAATCTGTTTCCTGGCGTGTAATTCATTGTGCAGCTCATTTTGGCCTTTAATTTTGTCAAGGGTTAATCTCACAGAGCCCCACGAGGCGACTGCTGTTGTGACTGTGTGCCGTAGGTTTGCGTAAAATAAAGTTCAATTGAATTGAATTGAAGGATAAAACAACTGTTTGTGCTCTAAACAGCTTCCCTCCTCCCTCCAGAAAAGGTCTGCCTCTCTCGCCACCAAGTTCAGCTCCAATATGGCAGACAGAAGCTTCCTATCACGCACGGTGACTACACCGTCATCATGGAGAGAGGCAGGCAGTGGGTGGAGCCTGTGTGCCACCGCCTACCTCCCACTCTCCATGTATGGACAAATAGCAGTCGGTTTCTAGGCAGCATGCTGTTTGCTATTTATTCAGAATCAGCTCTAACACGAGGCTTCCTGTCCTCAGGTATCTACCAACCCACCAGCTTCCTGTTGCGCAAAGCCTCAAGCGGACAGAAGTCACTAAGGCGCGGCTGGACCCGCAGCTCGCAGTGTGACACCCGGTTAGTTTGCGTACGGCTTCAAAGTGCAGTTCAGTCTTTTTGGTGTTCAAGTGCATTCTTTGTTCTCACATTTATGGCTTCTTAGTAACAGACTCGTGGACATGGCAGCAGCGCTGTTATAGTCTCTTGGTGTGTTTGGAGTTATAGTGGCTCCGCATGTCTTTGCGCAGGCGGAACTTCTCACCGCACACGCCACAGATGTACAGGTGGACATCCATGTGCTTCTCCAGCTGTTCGCCACCCGGGAAGATCTGGAAGCACACCTGGCAGATGGTTTCCCCGGCTGACAGGTGGGAGATCATGTGACGCACGTGGTCGTGTTTGAGGAAGGTCCCCTGGTCACACACGGGGCACACGTAGCGCGCCATTCCTTTATGCATGTCAGTGTGGAGGCGGAGTTGGCGCTCGCGCAGGAACTGCTTGCCACAGGTCTGGCAGGTGAACTGCTTCTCCTTGGTGTGGACAGTGTAGTGCTCGCGCAGGTGGCAGCGCTGGTAGAAGCCTTTGCCACAGATGCTGCAGAAGTGTTTGCGGCGGTGATCAGGCTCGCCGCCTTCCTCCAGCATGGTGGGCCGAAACAGCTCCTGGTCGTGGCAGGATAGAGCGTGCTCCAACGCCAGGCTCTCGTTCTGGAACAGCAGGCCGCAATGCGGACACGCCAGGTCGGCTGCCTCCAGCAGCCCCTCCTCCATCCCATGCGGCTCCTCCAGCAGGGACGCCTCATCCTCGCCATGGGAGTCCGACTCAGCTCCATGGGATTCACCGCAGCGCTCGGCATGCTCCTGCAGCTGCCGGCCTTTGATCAACACCTGGCCGCACCTGCCGCAGGCACATATATGCCCCATGTGGTTGGACAGATAGTGCGCGGACTTGTCCTCCTCCAATAACAGAGCGCCACACACCTCGCAGGGCGTGCCGTCAGCGTCCTGCTTCTCGTCTTTGACCTTCTGGAGTTTGGCGGGGATGCCGGAATCACTGCCTTCGAAAGGCTCGCTGCTGTTTTCCAAACCGGAGACACCGGGCTCGGGGTCCGATTGCGTTTTCTCCCTCAGCGCTGCATCACCGAAGCGTGCACTAAAATCTCTGGCGGCATGCTCGCCAACACGGACCACCTCGATCTCAGGGAACATGCTCTCTTCTGGTTCGGTCTTGATGCTCCTGGTGGACCCAGGCTCGCCGTCTGGTCCGCCTAGGACTGACCGGGCAGTCTTGGCCTCAGGCCAGTCGTCCTCGCCTTTACAGACGACCCGGTGTTCCTCCACACTCTCTGAGGCGGAGCTCTCTGCTTTACTTGAGTCGTTGTCACCCTCAGTGTTGCCTCGGGGTGGGTGGAAGGCTTTGCGGTTGGTACACGTGAGGATATGCTCGATTAGAAGCTTCTCGCAGCTGAACACGAAGCCACAGTCGTCGCAAGTGTATGTGCGACCAAACCTAGGGCGGTCCTTCAGAGTTGAACTCCTACCACCTGACCGCTTCCTCAGGTCACATGGTTGCTCGCCTGCTCCGTCTAAAACTGGCGCCGCCACAATCAGAGGAGCGGTTGCTGCCTCTTCAGTCGTGGCTGGCCTGCCAACTGCAGCAGGAACAGCAGGAACAGCAGGAACAGCCGGACGCCCCGTGCTGCTAGTGACGGCCTTCGGCAGACGCTCCCCTTCAGGTGCGGCGGGCCGCTGCTGTTCGTACATGCGCACGCCAAACATCATCTTCCCGCCAGCAGGCCCGGCGGAGGAGCTGGATGAGGAGGCAGAGGAGGACGGCGTGATGTTGGAGCTCCTGATGTCCCTCAGGTCCTCCAGCGAGTCAGGGATGTAGTACATCTGCAGATATGCCATAGACGCTTTCAGCTCCTCAAACTCGTAACTGCCCACAACGATGCGCCCGAGGTACATGAGCTGCAGGATGAGGTCGAAGCACTCGGCACTGATCTGCATGTTGCTCATGTCCAGGCGGCCCGCTCCCTGCTGGTCCCGGATGAACATCATCCTGAAGTAGGAGCTGCAGGCCGCCAGCACCGCCTTGTGAGCCCGGAAGTAGATGTCGCCGATGGCGATGAGGCAGTCGCACAGGAAGCCCCACTCGCGCTGGTTGTTGAGTTGCTGGAGGACGTGATCGCTGTGGCTCGGCCTTGCCATCGCCCTGTGGACAACAGAGGAAGACAGAGTCAGAATTTATGAGGCAGCAAGGTCGTCTGCGGTCGACTTTCATAACGTGTGAGCCGGCACGGGACAGTCGGGCCTGATATGATTCATCAGCAACTCTGATTTTAATTAGAGCCACAAGTTCACACACCGAGCATGCTCAGATCAGCTCCCAGCTTCACTTACAGCACTGCAGTGATGAATCAGTATTTCCTTCTCAAGAACACACTGCTCAGATTTAACATGCACGCGCACACACACACACACACGATGGCAGGTCTACTTCTCACCTTTCTAAACTCACTGTGGGGGAGGATGCTTCACCTCCTGTTGGCTATTCTCACAGTAAGTGACACCCCCCCCCTCACACACACACCTACCCTGTTATGTGACAGATGTGTTTGTATTGCAGGATAGGGCTGCCACAAACGATTATTCTGATAGTAGACTAGTCACCGATTATTTTTGCGATTAGTCGACTAATCAGATCATCACCCATTGGACGTAAAACCTACAAGCTGTAGGTTGCACCAGCAGCATCTGCTCTTATATAACTATCATTAGCTTACAGCTTTAAGTGTTTAAGGTGTGTGCTAACTAAAAATAAAGACAAGATGGTAGTTTATTAAATTTTAATTAAACTTGCAGATTGTTTCGGTGAAGTTTAATAAACTCCTTGATATCTAAAATATAACAGGACACCGGAGTAAATTCTGGAGCATCTCACACTTCTGATAATCAGCTGTCTGTTTGATGTTTATTCAGCTGTGTAAAAACTATAACTTTAATCTCAGCCAAACCGATTTACTCAGGAACAAATAAAATACTAAAAAAAGCCAAACAATAACATTTTAAAGTTATCTAAGTGAAGGCCGGGAGTCCGGTGTTCTCACGGCTAGTTAGCCTTGCCCCCGGTTAGCTATCGAGCTAGTGGGTAACAGACGTCTCTGAAAACGTCAGAGCGCTTTTGAAAATATGTGGTGTCTTGATAAACTGAGCAGATATTTGAGGTTTACACAGCTACATTCTCGCCTGAAAATATGTTAAACTTTATTTTGTGACCCAAAAAGAATAATAAGAGTAATATTAAAGCTAACTAGCTGCCGCCATTGTTGGAAACTGAGCTGGGCGCTATGAATTCTGGGACAGAGCTTCTTCTTCTTCGGGGTTTAAGGGCAGCTGGCATCCTTGTACATGCAGTGCTGCCATCTTCTGTTTCATTCCGTTATTACACTCTTAAATCCTGCTACTTATTCCTGCGTCTTTTGTGATCTTACAAAGCTTCAAACGACGCGTCGACTATTAAATCAGTCGTCGACGATTTTGATAGTCGACGTAATCGTGACTAGTCGACTAATCGTGGCAGCCCTATTGCAGGACAAGTATACCTGTACACACCCCAAGTTACTGCCTAAATAAAAGGTCCACCCTGACCCCACCAACACCTGGAGAGTTCACAGCAGATGTCCTGTGGACCAGGTTACAGTAAACTGTGAGCCAGATGTGCCCGACACACCTGACAAATCTGGATTTTTAAGTTGGACTCAGAGGAAACTGCAGATGCAGGGCACATCTGGGCCAAACCGCTCTCTGAGAACGCTCTCTGCTCACTGGTTACCCGAGCCCTCATCGGCGGGTATACGCCAATAACATCTGCAGCAGTTCCAGATGTGGGCGGAGCTAAAAACAGGTTCCTGTGCTACAGGAGAAAACCGGTCGCATGCGGTTTTCTGTACTGTGAAGTGAACCCGGTCCTGTTCTTCAGAACTGGAGCTTTTTGTTAGACATGTACCTTCACTGCCTGACCCCCCCCTGCCCCGCTGCTGCTTGGAGACACTGAAACCCATCAAAAGATGTCACTTCTTGTGTCAAAATGGGGTGTAATCAGAGGAAGATGTTTTCTCCCGTCACCTGAGCTGAACAGTGATTCGCTTAAAACTTTGACGCGTTTTTATTTTCAGCGATGTCGTCCCGTCTGTGTGTACTGAGCTGCCTTCCCTCCCCAGTTCCACTGGCGGTTCACCTGGCTGTGCTCACAGGTAAAGCTCACACAGAGTACACTTGTGACCAGCTAGAATGTGTCAGCTGATCCCAGAGTGCCTCAGAGCATCGCGCCAGATAAGAGATCAGTGGCGAAGTAGCATCACTGTACGTGTGTGTGTGTGTGTGTGTGTGTGTGTGTGTGAGTGAGAGAGTCCTGAAAGCCATAGCAGCAGAACAACATAAAACCAGCTGTGCAGGAGCTCACCTGCCTCAGGTGCAATCAGAAGACTCGCCTCTTCCAGATTTTTAAACATTTAGTGCCAGCTGACCACCACCGGTCACATGTTTCTGCGTTAAATCTACGCCATAACGTGACGAATCCTGACAAATGCAACTACACATTGACGCAGCCCATGATGACCGTGATCAGTGCAGCTGTTTCCAACTTGTTCTGCCTCACACAATTCCTGATTCAAGCAAATTGACTGGCAGACAAAATTTCCAGCGCCAACTAGTGCCCTGCATCTCCGAGCTCTGCATCTATTAGGCTGCAGAGCGCCTAATAGATGCATGAATCATGCTTCACTGCGACAGCAAGGCAAGAACACTCAGCGGTCCTCTGGATGTCGGTGGTGGCCATGCAAACTGACACATGACTAGAGCAGGACGATATGACCAAAAATATTTATCACAATATATAACGATATAACTGATAACGATATAACTGACGATATAATTGACACTAGACAAAACACTTTACAACTCCTCAACTTTATTAGTGCAAAAAAAAAAAACCATCAATGTATTTTCACTTAAACAAGCAGCTTTTTTTATGTGCATTAAAGTTATATAAAAAATTAACAGTGCAAATGCAAATTCCTTGCTGACAGTTTAACCAAAAGGCATTTCCAGTGGAAATTGGCTGACATATCCTCAGCATAACCATGTATAATATCCACAAAACTTAAAAAGAGGTTACACACACACACACACACACACAATACGGTAATATTATGTTGAAGCACAGTACGTATCACTCCGCGAGGCTCCTGCCTACGATAGCCGTAATGCTCCGACAATCCATCAAGCGGTGCGGCTTCGTAGCTTAGCAAAGTCGTACTGAAACATTTGACAGATTTTCGAGCGCCGTGTACCACATAAAATCGTTTCCAGGTCAGTAAACACAACCAGAATTCATACATAAGGCACACGGGATTATAAGGGGCGCTGTCGATTTTCAGAAAAATCAAAGGATTGATTTTAAGGGTGCCGTATTTTCCAATAATAACGACAGCCCGTTAGCATGCGCTACCAAAAATAGTGTTTTGTTGTATATCTGACGGACGAAAGCCAAACCAGTTCCACACCACTGAAGTTGCAGCATTTTTACAAACCAATTCTGGTTCATCCGTTTCATTCAACAATCCACTTTCGCTCTTCTCATTCTGCGTCGACGCCATGTGCGTATGTAAACAAAGGCACTGCGCATGCGCGTTTTGCCCATATTCTATCGGGATATTTCATTTTCTTATCGTTGCCCAACATTACACCGGTATTACCGTGAACGGTATGATATAGTCCACCCCTACACATGACTACAGGAAGTGAGATCATCATGTGAGATCAACGAGCCAACATGTTCCAGCAGAATATGAATTCATGACCGAAAAGCATGACTCCATTGCAGACGGTCAGGTGACTGATTTCCAAAGTGAGTTCCGCCTCTCAGATGAGGCTCAGGATGGCGTTTTATTCTGAAATGGTTTGGCTCTTTGATCACATGACGTGACATCAGATCAGTTCACGTGAGTTCAGGACGGTCCCGCTGATTTAAAGCCAAAACTGAGCTCCTCCAACAAAACCTGATCCTGCTAAAGGTGGAGACATAGAACGCACCTCCACATGATTCCCCAGACACCGCTAGCTACACACCATGTGACAGTAAGAGCCAGCAGTGGAGTGACTTGTGATGAGGTCACACAGTGGGAAAGCAGGACTTTGCCCCAGCCCCAGTCTCAGTTTGATGTGATGGCGTCGTGCAGTTGCTGCAGTTACATTAAATTGCAGAACGACCTTTTTATATCCCATCATAAACGTCATCATCATCATCACACTTTTCCAGAAATATGCAGATATGATTTTAAGAATGCCTTAAAACGTTCAGGCTGATTAAATCATCAGTTTCTAATCACAGCCCAGCTCAGAGTTTATGATTGTAAATGGTGACACATTGTTTTTTTACCCCTTTCAGGTCATTGTGATATGCAGTTTTTCACGAGTTTTTACTAAGATGAGTGCCTTAATCGTGTTATTACCAGAACAAGTCATGGACAAGTCGTTTGCACTCTGATCAGCTGGTTGCTGCTCACAGGAAGGTCTCAGGGCTCATTTTATCACCCGACACGTGACAGTCTAGGTTCATATCTGATGTGTCTGCTGTCAGGTGTGTTTGAGCTTTGTGAGATTAAAGGTCACAGTTCAGAAACCTACTCTACTGATCAGTAATCAATAAAGATAATAATGTGATCACTGTGAAGAGTGGATGAAATAATTTTGGCCTCTGTCACCAGACTCCACTGTAAAAACCACTCAAATAAGAGCCCTCATCCTGCTTACTGTTAGTCCCCGCCGGGCCCGCAGGCACGCGGTGCGGGCTGTCAGTCACCGGCAGACAGGCCGCGAAGGAGCCGCCGAGGTGGGAGCGAGCCCGTGGAGAGACCGGAGGGAGAGGCTGGCCACACCGCCGAACTAAAATGGAGATTACAGCTCGGCTGAGATTAGCTGCTCCAAGCTAACCCCTGTTAGCGTGGTCCACACCGGAAGTTCCTGTGATCACTCCTCCAAAATGAAAACACGAAGCGTGACAAGGGGTGAACGAGACCACCGTCAGGGTATCGCGTGCATCACAGCGCGTCTCAGTGACAGTCAGACACTCCCCGAAGGATCGTCAGTGAACTCGTAGCTCCTCCGGCTGCTTCAATGCTCAAAACTATTCGTTACGACTTATATTTTGAAAGTAGCCACCGGATGTGATGCGAATAAAACCGGGCGGTTACTGAGCGCTCTCTCCCGCAAACAGCCCCGCCGCCCCCGCACTGCCACCCGCATTCAGCACCGAGAGCAGGCCGCGAGAATTTCCTTCACCGCCTGCCGCCCAGACGGCCCCGAGCCCGGACACGGGTCCGTCCACTCACCGTGGGTCCCGGAGGCCGGCGAAGGGGCTGCTGCTGTGGGATTCCCAGGCTCCGAAATGTCCTCCGCGGATGGTTTACTGTGGAGACGAAGGAGCAGCCTCTTCTTCTTCTTCTTCTCCTCCTCCAGCAGGATGAAAGCACTTCCGCACAGCCCGCCGCGCCGTCAAGCCGCACATAGTGAGGAAGTCCAAATAAGGAACTTCCGGTCAGAGTGGGGCCCTTCAAAATAAAGTTAAATAAAGTTTTAACGTTTCAAAAATACGTTTCTGCTTTGATGCTTCGCGCAGCTCAGCTGACACTACGGAAACGCAACATGTGTCGCACAGTAAAAAATAAAAAAAAAAAGTAAAATGAAAAACTGAAGTTATAATAAAATATATAAGAACTTTAACCCAGTGGGACATGTTTAACTGCATCAAGCAGTAGTTCACAGGTGGGCATTAAATAATAAATATACATTTCTGGCTTGGACGGGGCCTTTCACAGTTAAATAAAGAGTGTCAGAATTATGTCTTCATTGAAAACGACCACAGGAAACAAAGTCTGCTTTTAATTTGAAAATAATAACCGGAATAATCTATTTGTTTTCTCTCTCGCCTGTAGGATTACTTGAGGCCTCCCGCCACCCACATTCAGTCAGAGAGCAGCAAGGAGGTCTAACTCTGAGCTGAGCAGGAGACTCCGCCTGAAGAAGCAGCAACATCTCACCCATCAATCATATACGAGGTGGCCCATACCTGAACGATCTCATCACTGCAGCTGCAGCACCAGTCCGTCTGTTTCAAAGTAGCCTGCTATCTGGAGGCAGCACCTGATGATGCCAACAGAACCACATCATCTGCAAAATGCAGAGACAAGATGCTGGCAACGCCCAGATAATCTGCCCATCACCGGTGACAAAGGGCGGCCTAGGCGGAGCCCAGCACCCACTGGGAACGTGTCCCACTCACTGCCAAGAATGTGGACCACACCTCACAGCATACCCGCTGTGGTCAGTAATAATCAATACTGCTGATCAGCTCAGTGGACACCAGCCTAAGAAAACATATTTACACAGGTTATGAGTTACTTCAGTCACCAACCGAGGTACAGTGGCCCACTCCGAGAGTACTCTGAGTCTCAGATTACACAGATTATGATGGGGTTCAGTCCCTGAGCTGCAGACCTGAAGCGTGTTTGTGAGTCTGTCTGCTGCACGGTGTCGGTGTGTGTTGTGTCACGTGATCGTGCTCCCTGCACGGTGTCGGGGTCTTATGCTGCTGGCTGACAGCCTCTGATCAGTTTCACTTTTTTTCCTGATATACTCAGAAAATTATCGATGGCACGATAACGCCATCTTTCCTGCTCTGCGTTTATTAAATTACTGATCAGCCATCAAACGTTTCTGACGGCTCACGTGACTGCCCCATTTGACCCATGTTCTCGCGAGAGGTGACGCGGCTCGTCGCGAGATCCTCTGCAGCAACAAATCGGCCGATTCTGAAGACGATCTGCTCGTTTCTGCGGTAAGGCGCTCATTAACGGCGCGCGTGCAGGATCCGCGCATACACGGGATTGCCGGGCGTTGGGAGCGTGAACACGCGCCCGTGTGCGCGGAGGTGATGAGGACGTGCGTGTGATGAATGAGATGAAGGATGGAGGATGCTGCGCGGTGGCGGGCGCGACGGCACGTGCACGCGCAGAGCTAGTGTGTGACTGGGTCGCGCGGGTGTCCGGTTTCCGGTGTGGTCGGGTCAGTTCGATGTGAACACCCGCCCCTTCCCCGTGCATGAGTGCGTGTGTGTGTGTGACCTTCGCTGAGGTCAGAGATGGCGTGTCCAAGTGAGCCTGACGGACTTAATGTGACGTCACAGGGTTAAACAACACCTTAAGAGTTCTTCAGGTCTTAATGTGCTATACTGCTCTGTGTTTGTGTGTCTGTGTGCTTGTGTGTGTGTTTTTGTGTTTCTGTGTATGCGTGTGTGTATGCGAGAGATGCTGAAGATAAAATAACTCTTTATTGTCATTGCACACTCATACCTTGTACAATAGTACAATGAAATTGGAAACTCCCACGTCAGCACAACTAAAGACAACACAGTTACTTAAAGTTGATTTTTTTTTTTTTCATTTCATTTATTTATTTATTTCACACTTGGTACAACAATTCAAACAAACCAACCACACTTTCTATCAAAAAGCACTACAACCATGTGTGAAAAGGAGCAGGAAGAAGAAAATATTCTTATTAAACCCTGCCCCCTATCTATTTTCAAAGTGCAAGGGACCCAGACAGTGGCACGCGTGCGCCCCTGTAGGAGCTGAAGTTCCTCTGATGTCCCCCAGACGCTCCAGCAGTGAACGGTAGAAGAGGCTCCCCCTCAAACAGAGGAGCTTCATCAGCTCTTTTAGTGAATGAACCTGCACCCCTGCTCTGTTCTACAACATCGACCAATAACAGTGCACGAGAATCAGGAAGGCTCTACCTTGTGGCGTTATTCAGCACTTCGATATTAAGTACTTACTGAGCTAAAGCAACAGGAGTATCGGTAACACAGCAGCAATGGACTTGACCGACCACAGATATATATATTTCATCTTCTATCACCACAGCGGATCCTCTGCTCAGGGTCACAGTGAAGTTCCTCTGACCTTCTCTGAACCTCTTCAAGACATCCTCTATCCTGTTGCACATTAATAAGTTTGTATGTTAAATGTATGTGTGTGAGCAGTGATGATGGAGGTCATAATGTGAACTTCATGGGCTCGGGTTTGTGTTTCAGACGGTGTCATGGAGGTGTCGTCGCACAGCCTCTTCCTGCTGCAGCAGCTCAACGTGCAGAGGGAATTTGGTTTCCTGTGTGACTGCACCGTCGCCATCGGAAACGTCTACTTCAAAGCTCACCGCGCTGTGCTGGCTGCCTTCTCCAACTACTTCAAGATGATCTTCATCCACCAGTCCAGGTGAGGGGTGAGACAGCAGCGTGTGACCTCTTTACCTGAGTAGAAGTTAGTTATACACTTGTGCTTTGGGTCATCACACAAGTGCAGGTAGGATAAAAAATTGGCATGTTTTCTGAGAACCTGAATTCTTTTAAATGCCCAGCAGGTGGTGACTCCTCTGACCCTTGAATCCTTTGTCCTGATAAATTTGTTGGCTTCCTCAACCGTGTTGGGTTCCAGGTCAGAGAGGAGGATTATCTGGGGTGTACTAAACGTACGTTCTTCAGTCAGATCTGCCGCTTGCTGTCATCGTGACGGCAGTGATGAAAAGGACTTCACTAACCAGCCGGTGACAGTCTCTGCGTCGATCCTGTCATGAAAACGTTACCAGATGACCTGCTGTTAGCCACCTAGCTGTGAGTTAGCAGTGCGGCATGAATCCAAAGAGGGTTTGCTTGTCTGAAACCATGCAGCTGCAAATAGATCAGCCTTGGGAATTTGGACAAACTGGCCAACCTTATCCATTAAAGACAGGATTTTACTAGTTGTCAGCAGGCATGTTAGTGTTAGTTAAGATTAGCCATGAGAAAGACAGCTCAGGATTGGATTTGCTCTCCACAACCAAACCGAATGTTAGCGTTAACTACAAACTTGGAGCTTGACTGGTCAAAAAGTGGCTAGCTGTCAGCTACAAACAGATGCACTGTGAGGACATGTGAGGACCCTTTATTTGGCCTTACCTTTTAGGTGAACAGTGGTGTGTTTGATTTGTAACACACCAAAAAAACAATGAATGAAATTTAATGTTTTATCCCAATTTTTTTTTTTCATAATTTTTAAGAAGCAATCAAATGGTAATAAAAATTCAATAATGATTGATCAGCCCTAAATGTGTTTAAGACTAGAATAATGTCTTAAACACAGGAGAGTGTGGACGGCGTGCCTGCCCGAAGGCTTGTACCAGTGTTTGTTCCTTTATTCCAGAGAACAAATTTCAGGATCTGGATCCTGTAAGCCAGAATAGAGGAACAAAACTTTGGTCCAAACCTTCAGGAGAACATCGATCCAAAACATCAGGATTCACATGCTGTTTTTTTCCGAGGTGCTGACCTCATGTCTCTCTGTGTCCCCAGCGAGTGTATAAAGATCCAGCCCACGGACATCCAGCCGGACGTCTTCAGCTACCTGTTGCACATCATGTACACCGGTATGTGTCCCAAACAGCCGGTGGACCAGAGCCGGCTGCAGGAGGGCATTAAGTTCCTTCACGCCTACCAGCTGTGCCGCAAAACTGGTGAGGGTGCTGCTGAGACTGCTAACAACGTGGTCCGCATGTCCAACCTCTATGGCATTCAGATCTCTTCCCAGCTGGCCAGCAAGGAGGGACCCGGAGTCCCCAAGACCACCACGGTGTCCCGCGGGGCCGAGGATGGGCGGTCCTCTGACCGAGGGGCCCGGTCTCACTCCCAGCTGTCCCTTGCTGTCGGACTGGAGGGGGTATCATCGGACCATCAGGCCTCAGCGCTACGTTGCTCTGTGGCATCCGGAGACGATTCTGACATCTCAACTACCCATATCAAGCAGGAACGCTTAGAGGAGGAGGAGGACGGCGAGGAGGGTCCAGGTGCAGGGTCTCCAATTCAGGACAGCAGTCCTATTCAGGGCCTCCTGTTCAAAGACCGGCCGCTAGTGCTGCTCTGTCCCCG